GCGCTGGGGAGAAAGCGGAGGGGTGGACGTGAGCAAGCAGAGGGACCGGAAGTCAGCGGTTCACCCGCACCCCAGGCCAGCCTGGGGCATTGGAGACTTCAGGTGTACCAGTGGGTGTGTGTGTGCGCGTGTGCGGGTGTGTGTGTGTGTGTGTGTGTGGTCTGATTCCAAAAACAGGAAGACTAAAAGTTGTGTAGGAACAGATTTTCAGAATCCAATACCCAGCATACGCACACGCACGCATGCGCACACACATGCAGGAGGAGGAACTCCAGAACTGAGCACACTAGGGATAGAGGTGGGGCTCCAAACGGACAACCAGCTATAAGTGAAAGTCCATCTTCTGAAAAGCTGAGTCCGGCCTCAGGTGCACCAGAGCGTGGGCACCAGGCTTCCCAGTCCACCTGCCTCCTGCCGGTGAGAGAGCAGCTCCGCCTCTGGGTACTCAGCCACCCCACGGGAAAGACCCCTCAAATACTGGCTCAGGAAGCAGCCCGGGAGTTACACGCAGCCCCCACACACAGAGTGGCAGTAGACGTCTGAGCACTTTCCCGCCAAGCCCGGCCAAACATTCCACGAACATCTCTGTGAGAAGGGCCAGGAGAACCTCGGAGAAACCACAGCAATGGAGTGAAAGAAAACGGGAGTGTCATCACATTCCGGATGAGGCAAGGGAGGAACAAGAAGAGGATGCTGTTTTTCAAAATAAAAACAGTCAGCCAGCATGGTGGTACAGGCCTGTAATCTCAGCAACTCTGGGAGGCTGAGGCAGGAGAATCCAAAGTTCCAGCACGGCCTAGGTGACTTAGTAAGACCTCTCTCAAAATAAAAAATAAAAATGGACTGGGGAGGTAGCCAAGTGTGAAAGTCCTGGGTTCGTTCCCCAGTGCAACAATAGTAATGGCAAGTCAGCTTTAATACATCTGGACCCTAGAATAGTATTCAGTGGAAGAAGTGTGCTGTCGAGCACAAAAAGAAGAACGTGAAACTCATCTTGCTGAGTGACAGAAGCCGGTCTGGAAAGACCACATACCATGTGAGTTCAAAAACAGGGGAAGCTGTGGTGACGCATTCCTGTAATCCCAGCACTCAGGAAGCTGAGGCAGGAGGATCGCCATGAGCTTTGGGCCAGTCTGGGCTACATCGTGAGTTCAAGGCTGGTCTGAACTACATAGCTGTTGCAACCTCTACCCAGAAAGGGGATGGGGTCAGAGGAAATATATGAGGGGTCTACTTTGTGCCCAATATAAGTAGAAAACTGCTGGAAAAATAAGGCCTATTAATGACTGCCTCGTACTTTTTAATACGTGACTACGATTGTTACCTTATCATGTAAGGAAAACAGGCGCGTCTTTAACCACAGGTCAGACAGGCTGAGCAGGGGAGCTGGGGCACAGTGGCTCATCACTGTCATACCAGGAAGTGTGTTCACAGGGGTGACATCCGGGCTTCCATCCCAACACACTTCATCCTCGTGAGCCCAAGGGATCCTTTCCCCGTGTCTCCCGCTCCCGGAAGGATCTTCCCCATCAACAAACATGTAGCCAGCCACCGGGACTCACGCCTGTCATCCGGCACCCTGGGAGGCTGAGGGAGGAGGATCACAAGTGAAAGCCCGGCCTGGCCAACTTATGATTTAGTGAGACCCTGTCTCAAAATAAAAGAAAGGACTAAGGATGTAGCAATACCACACACAAAAAAGCACTCTGCCTTGTATCTTTAAAGACGAAACCCTTGGTCCCGGTTGCCCCGGCACCTGCCATTCCACTGGGTATGGGTCGTGCGCTCTCTTGTCTCCTGAGCCCCTGAGTTACCTCATCGGTGCCAGGTCTTCACCCGCCACGAGTGACTCACGCACGCACCCAGCCGGGCTTCGGCCTCAGTGCCAGCCGCCGGCTTGCCATCCCCGTTTGCTCCCTCTAGACCCCTCAAGCTCAGCACGGCTGCAGCTGTGTCCAAACACGCGCTCCTGCGAGCTGTTCCCGGTGGACGGGCGGCTGCTTCCCACTTCCAGCCGGCAGCTGCTGAGGCCAGAGTCCTCGGCGTCATCTTTGCCTCCATCAGCGTCTTCATTGCGCCCCCGATCTGCTCGGCGATCTAGGTGCGCTCAGCGGGCGGTGGGTCCCTCATGCACCGCTCCCGTCACCTCACGGCTGTCACCTTGGCCTGCACCGTGGTTGACGCTTTCTGGGGTCACAGCCAGAGCCTCCCTCCTTCCGTCCTCGGCCTTCCGCTGAGTAAGCAGATCAACTGGGGTCAGCTTGGGATGGAGGCTCAATCCTGGTTCTGCAGTAGCTTCCGTTTCACCGCATCGGACAAATTCCTAAACTCCTGTGCCTTAGCTGCTGGGTCTGTAGAAAGAACAACATCCCCCTCAAGAGGTGGCGGGATTTGGAGAGGTGGCGCAGTGGCCCCCCTTTTCTGCAGTTTAGCTTTCTGTGATTGCATTTACCTACTGTGTGAAACGATTAAATGGAAAATTCCACAAACAAATAATTCATAGGGTTGAATTAGCTTGAATCCCAGCATCTTGTGATAACTTCTGTTTTACTATTCTTGTTGTTACCCTCTTATTGTGCCTGATTTATAGGATCGGCTTTATCACCGAAGCTGTGTGTTCATGGGGTCTGGTGCTGTCGCAGGCTTCAGCCACTTGCTGGAGGCTTGGTGCGTGGAGGGTCGTAAAGAGCTGTGCTGTCTAGCTTGGTATTTGTTTGTTTTGTTTTTGTTTTCTCGGTACTGGGGATGGAACCGTGGGCCTTCTGACTGAGCTACATCCCAGCCCATTTTCCTTTTTACTTTTTGAGACAGGGACTTACCAGGTTGCTTAGGCTGGGGTTCCGCTTGTGATCCTCCTGCCTCAGCCTCCCAGAGAGGTGGATGACATCTTATTATTTTTAATGCCCTCCAGAACAGCAGCCTACTTTGGTCTCCTTATTTCTTCAGTGCTGGAGGTGGGAGGGTGTGTAGAAACAGCGGATTCCAAGTACCTGCCCGTGGCTGTGGAGCCCTCAGTGCCTGAGCGAACACTCGGCCCCAAACACTGCTCATTAAACTAAAGCAAATCCAGTTCATGACTGCTGTTTGTACAGGAATGTAGTAATTGGTTTCGTGCACTACACAGAAACTGCTTTGTCAGTGGAAAGTGTTCTTTTAGTCAGTTCTGTGGTTCCTTTAAAGCATCTGTTCCCTGGAGGGTGCTGAGAGGAGGAAATTCCAGGCAGTGCCCCACTTGTTTTTAACTGAGCCTTTATCTGCTCTCTGGCCCTGCCTTCTTGGGATTTGTTTACACCGTGACCTCACATACTCAGGGTCCCCCGCTTTGTATAAGCCTCACCTCTCCATCAGTATCTGGGAGATTTAATGTTGCCACTCGTTTTATCATTCCTTGCTGATTTTTTTTTCTTTTTTTTTTAAAGACAGGGTCTTGCTGTGCAGTTCAGGTTGGCCTTGAATTCACTGTGTAGTCTAGGCTGGCCTCAAATTCACAGTAATCCTCCTGCCTCAGCCTACCGAGTGCTGAGATTACAGGCGTGTGCCACCACACCTGGCTCCTTACTGACCTTTTTAGTAAACCATAAGAGGGGAGGAGTTAGTGTGGATGTGCCAATGTGGGCATAAGCTGCAAAGAGCTTAGTGTAACGGCAGAGTCCTGCGGAGCCCCTGAGCCCGCCCACCCCTCTCCGGTCACTTCGCCCTTCTCCCAGAGGAAGCGGCATCCTGATTCTGGCGCAGATTTGCTCGGCCTGCTCTTGAGCCTTAACGTCTACAGCTCAGACTTGTAGTATGTTATTCTTTAGGGCGCCCCCGCCTTGTTGTTCTGGGTGGTGATTGGTCCGTGTTACTGGCAGCGGAGCAGCAGTTCATGTTTTCATTGCTATGTATCATGACACGTGTTGACTATGCGTTTGTATTCACTCACTGCTCTGCAGCACCTGTACGTCAGAGACCAGGTGTCGGTGTGTGTGGATTTGTTTCTGGAGTCTTTACTCTGTCTCCTGTTACGTTTGCCTGTCCTTGTGCCAAACCTTGCTACCCTAATTACAGCAGTATAAGGGGTGTGTGTGTGTGTGTGTGTGTGTGTGTGTGTGTGCATGTACATATGTACATGAATGGGTAGGTTGGGTGTAGTTGTGTGATGCTTGATACCTTTTAGAATAAGTCCTTCCATTTTGTTCTTTCTAAGGTTTCCTTGACTATTCCTAGCCTTATGGATTTCCATATAACTTTTATAATCGGCTTGAAATGATCTTCTCTTTTAAACAAACAAAAAAAATTACACTTTTGATTGAGCATAATTTAAGGAGAATGGATATCATTACTATTTTGAATCTACCTGTACCTGCAAGTGGTGTGCCTTTTTATTCATTTGGGACCTTAATTTCTCTCAGCATTTTATGGTTTGCTATGTAAAAGTTATACATATATTTTATGCTATTTAGTCTTAGGTATTTGGTGGATTTGGGGTATTACTATAAATGCTATTTGTAAAAAATTATTTCATAATTACTGCTTGTACTAGAAATATTTTTGTATATTGAAAATAAGTTTTTGTTACAAGATCGTGTGAGATTAAAGTACACATCATTTTAGGAGTCGCCTTATGTTAAAATCACTGTGGGACAGATGGGTGAGCTGAGGGAGGTAGAGTTTGATTCTAGCCAGCCTTAAAACCTGGAGAATTCCAAAGGCAGCCCGGAGGAGCGTGGCCCCGAACTGTGTGGAGTCTGAGGTTGCGCCAGCGGGCTTTCTCCCTCCGCCAAGGTGGCGGGCTCGGATGTCAGACGTCAGACATCGCTGCTCCTTGCTCAAGGGCAGTGGGGGACGCTGGGCCGGGCGGATCCGGGGCAGGCCGTGTGCAGGCTGCCCTGCAGCCTCGTCCCTGCCGTCCTTGGCCCACGGGGACCGAGGCCGTCACCCCATCAGTCGCAGGCGTCGCGTGTCCCCGCTCCGTGAGGGCGGTGCCTTGTCCCCAGCTCACCCCTGCTTTGTTCCCACAGGTCTATAAAGGAGAATTTCAGCTTCCTGACTTCCTGAAAGACAAGGCCCAGGTATGCTGTCTCCTGTGTCTGCTTCCTGCTCTTGTAAAGAGATTGGCTCTTGCATGAAGTAATCTTTTTAAATAAAATGAAATAAAAGGAGAAAAAAAAGACATAATGGTTTGTGCTGTGGTAGAAAGATTGCTGCCTGGAATTTGTTAATTTTAACAGTAATTGAATATTGTCTGAATTCAGAGAACTCAGTATCCTCCAAAACTGGGGAAATATTTTATTGATATGTAAATTCTTGTTGGCTAGTGAGGTCACGCTCAGGCCACACGGTACTTGGCATGGAAGGAGTGTGTATTGGTGCCTGCGCCCCAGCCTCCGAATAGCTAATTTGCAGTGAAATGTACACCTCCACACCCACATGCCGCTTAGCTTTTTTCTTTTAGAGCCTAGAAGACTGGTGAACATACTATACATCTGGCCATTGGCCGTCAGAAAGAATCTGAGAGAGTGAAGCTTGTCGGTTTTATTCTTTAAAAAATTAGACGGTGTGGTGGTGCATGCCTGTGATCCTAGCACTTGGGAGGCTGAGGCAGGAAGATCACCATGAGTTCAAAGCCGGCCTGGGATACATAGTGAGTTCAAGATCAGCCTGAACTGCATAGCAAAACCCTGTTTCTTTTCTTTTCTTTTTTTTTTTTTTGTACTGGGAATCAAACTTAGGACCTTGCACTTGCCAGATAGGCGCTTGTGCCACTGAGCTAGATCCCTAGCCCTGAGACCTTGTTTCCAAAAAAAACCTTAATCCAGAGGCAGGTGTGTGGCAAGCAGCCCAGTGGTAGAGCAGTTGCCCGGCGTACATAAGACTCTGCGTTCAATCCCCAGCACCACAAAACAACAACAACAAAATAAAAATGAAATTCCAACAAGTCCCATTGGAGCTGACTATCACACTCGCTTGCCTTCCAGTCTTGTTTCCTTAGCTGGAGAAAAGCAGACAGGGATGCGGGTGGGGACCTAAAGCCGCTCAGACAGCGTCCCAGCTCGGTGTCACCTGTCACCCTGGTGAGGGGCGGGGAGAGAGGGGTGACACCACCTGAGGTTGCTGACCCTTTGCCAGCGCAGTGGCCAGCCTGCCGTGCTCGTCCCTTGTTACTTGGGAACAAGACTCTGCCGAGCTCGGGGGCTGAAAGCTCCCAGCCCCACGGTGGTGATGACGTGCTGCGTCCCACATGCAGGCGGGGTCCTGCGGCTGGGATGCCTGAGCTGTGTCTCCTCCGCCTCCTGAGCCGGGGGCTGCAGGCGCGGACCACCGCACCTGGTCGTCTGTATTCTGGGTGAGGATGTTCAATAAGAAAAAGATGTTTTCAGCGGCACTGCCCAGACCCTTACCATGGATGGCTGTATTTACCGCCTCTCTCTCCACATTTGGAAAGGAGCTAGAAAGGATTTTGGTTTAAGTGAGAAAACAGAAGCCCATGAAGCCATCGTGGGTGTGGGCCTACATGGCTCACAGGACTCAGGACAGCACTGTACCAGCTGTGTAACAAAGCGTGCAGGTCAGGAGCAGCCCGGTGGAGAGACACAGGCGAGGGCCAGGGGCACCTGACCAGAGCTCGTGGGCCTATCCCCGCGGGCCAGGCTCGCACCTCGCCGGCGCCTCTGTGTGTGCACCTGCGCCTCAGTACCCACGCTCAACTCCATGGGCTGCGGGGCCTCGCCGGGCCCGGGTCACTCGCAGTGGCGATCTTTCGGTGAGCAAGCCTCCTCCTGACTCATCTCATCTCCTAACATAAACTTTGGGGTGAATCTAGGGGTCATGAAGAACAAAAACGCTCCTACCACCAGGAAATTCCAGGGTTTAGAGCCTCCCCCTCTGAAACCCGGAGGAGAGGGCCAAGTTCTTTTTTGTTGGTGGTTGTACTGGGGATCGAACCCAGAGCACTCTCACCACCAGGCCACATCTGCAAACCTTTTCATTTTTTGAGACAGGGTCTTGCTAAGTCACTAAATTGCCTAGATGGGGCTCAAACCTGTGACCCTCTGGCCTCCAGCTCCCTCAGTGCTGGAATTTTATTTTATTTTGTGTGATTTTTGTTTTTGCGGTACCGGGGATCGAACTCACGACTTGTGCTTGCCAGGCAGGCGCTTATGCCACTGAGCTATATCCCCAGCCCTTATTTTGTGTTTTTGAGACAGGGTCTTTGTAGCCCAGGCTGGCCTCGAATTCACAGAGATTCTCCTGCCTCATCCTCCTGAATGCTGGGATTATAGGCGTGAGCCACCATGCCCAGCAGTGCTGGAATTATAGGTGCCACCCCGCCTGGTTCTCTGTGTACAGCAGTGGCAAGCTGAGTTTAAGTGATGTTTGTGGGCCTGCAAGATGCCCGGATGTCTCAGAAGGGGCAGTCGCTTGTCTGGCTGACCAATCTCAAGGGCTTTAACCGCCTTTGCCTCTTTCAGCAGACGGAGCAAGTGGAGTAGCAGAGCCTGGATCATCTTTCCCCGTGAGGTGAGGCTGGGGACACCTCTGGGGCTTGGGTTTCCTGCTCGAGCTCTCAGGGGCAGTGCAGCCAGGGGGAGACAGCTCCAGAACTAGGCCGTCTGGGTTGGAATTCTGGTCATATCACGACTCAGCCACTTCACCTGTGTGTCTCCATCTCTTCTGTAAAATGAAGAAACTGAGCTCTTGTCCATTAATAAGAGATCGGTGGTAAGATTACCCAGAACGATGTCTTCAGAAGGCCCGGCAAAAATAAGCATGTAAATAGCGGTGGGTGTTACGTTTATGGTGAAGGCCTGAAAACAATATAGTATGTTAGCGCCACGGATCCTGGGGCCAGTCAAGCCCATGGCCTGTTTGCTGATAAGGAGACTGATGCTCTCACAGAATAGGGGATACCAAGAGCCACAGAGCTCCATCTCTCGCCCGCTGGCCAGGGCTTTTCCCGCCACCCTGCACCGCTTGTGTGTGCGCCAGACTTGCAAAAGTGTTTGCACCAATTTGTCTATTTCTGGATTGGTTGTTTTTCCAACTCCACCCTTGCTTATGTTAACAAATGACGATGCCCTGCGCTTGTGCCCTGCCTTGCCGCTTTGTAGCTAAGGGCCACGCTGTGAGCTGGCCAGCGGGCCTTGCAAGCCCCTTTTCTGTCTGCCTGTGTGAACGTCTGCCAGGACACAGCGGCTGGGTGACAAAGCTGGGTTTAAACCCGGGTTCCCTGATGTGGCTGCGCACAGCCCCCCAGGCGTTCTTAGAAATCTCTCTTGCTCTGAGTGATGCCTGAGATCGTTTGGAGCTTGGAAAACTTCAAAAATTCTGATGTTGATTTCTTTTCTCATAGTTTCGCTTACTTGGTATCTACTGCTTTAAATCATCTTTGGAAGAGAGGAGGCCACACTTGTAGTGAATTAAGAAAACCATTTTCACAACCCCTTTTTTATACCTGTTATACCAGGAACATCTGAGGGAACAGGGCCCAGCACCCCACTCTGCCGGCCCGCCGTGGCTCCCAGGGTGCAGCGGGCTTCACCTGAGGCCTTTCTTTCCAGCTTGCTTCTCACACGGGTCCTTTCCTTCCCCGCGGCTCAAGAAGCGAGCCTGGTGCTTGGAGGCTTATAAAGAGCCCTTCTCAGTCCTCCTCACAGCTCAGGAATTTGTATTTGTAATTGCATGAAAAGTTACTGGAATTCTAGCAAATTAATTCCAGTCTACCACTTCAGTGCAACCCACGGCGAGAATAAAGACGCTAAGGCGTACTTGTAGGTATGAGGAGCCAAGGGGTCCTGAGTCCAGCCATGATGGTGGCCATCCGGAACAAAGGCCTCGACCCAGCGCTGAACCCGCATTTTATTAATTCTGGAAGGGAGTGGCTTGAAGATGAGTGACTGTGTGAGCTGGGCTAGGTAGGAGGCCTGAAATCCCCCCTGCCATGTGCAGAGAGAAGGGTCTGCAGAAAGAGTGATCTGTATAAAACACCCGAGATAGTGTCTAATGTTTTGGGGTCCGTGCTTCAGCTCTGATGAGTAATCTTTGAAGCCCGGGCAGTCGTAGCCTCTATCCCAAGGCTCGATCCCAGCTGACAGCGTGGAGCATTGGCTCACACACCCGCCTCATCCCGGCTCACCCCAGGGAGCAACAGGGCCTCGGGGACACACTGCCCGCCATCTTCAGAGACTACCGTCAGCACCCGGGCTAGACCGTATGCGGTGCTTAAAGTCAACTGAAGGGATAAGGAAAAGTCCCGGCCAGCTCTGTACATATCAGTACATGGAAACAGGGTCAGGCTCGGCCAAAACGGAGGCAGTTTGTCCTCTTTCAAGGAGAGTCACCTAGGGGGTCCTCCACAGAGGCGCCGTGTGCTCAGGGCACCGCTCGCCTCCTGGCAGGGATCTGCCCAGCGCTAGCCGGTCACACTGCCAGCAGGAGCGGGTGACGCTATGGACGTCCGGCGTGTCTGGACTGTTGCAGGTGTCCTTCTGAGCAGCACTGTTGCCCTGGTGGCCACAGTCTCGCCCTGCTTTCAGATTTCCGTGTATGTGGCCCAGGAACAGCTCCACGCACTCTACAAGGCCCGGAGCATGTATCAGGTGCCTTGCCTCTCTCATTTTGTCTGCGTACTGGAAGAGGGCGGTACCAGCAGAAAGCTTCATTTTTATTTTATATAGTGACCATGTACTGAGTGTATGCTGTAGACCAGGCATAGGCTACCAACTGTGCACATACAGAGACCCTCTTCGTGAGAAGGTTTCATAGGACAGAACGCGCTGGCCCACGCAGCCTTCCACCCTGGTTCGCTTATGGGGGTCTCTGGGGGCCCAGTGCGGGCATGGGAGGCTGGGGAGCCTGGAAAGCACCTCAGGAGAGATCCTAGTCTGTCTTCCCCTCTTTTGGACCCCTTGACAGTTGCATAATGGTCACTGCCTCTCTCTCTAATGCTCCCCTTTTTTTGGTACGGGGAATCGAACTCAGAACCTTACGCTTGCTAGGCAGGCGCTTATGCCACTGAGCTATATCGCCGGCCCTAACGCTCCCTTTAAAGAACCTCAGTACCTACTGTCGGTGGTGCAGGGCCAGCCTGGCGACCTCAGCACCCTCAATGCCAGCCTCCCTGCCGTGCCTTCCGCGGCAGATGGAGGTCGTGTCACTGAGAAACGGGCTGCCGTTGCATGTTTTGCACGGAGAAGTGTCCTGCAGGGTCCGAGGCCTCCCACACCGAAGCATGGGGCCTACCGGGCCCTTCCTTCCGGGCAGCTGGGCTCCCCTAGTTGGTCCTCTGCACCCCGCTGCCTGGCCGCCTGGCGCCAACCGGGAGGGGTCGCTGGGGGCGCAGGGAGCGTGGACGGGAGCTCCGCACCGGTAACTCCGGGTCTGTCTGCCCTAGGAGAGACCCCGCCTCTTCAGCGAGAGGGAGCTTCCAGGCCGCTGACCCCGGCCGAGGTCAGCGGCCGCGTGCCCGTGACCAGCCCGTCTGTCCCCGCCTGCCCGCCGGCCGGTTCCTTGCGCTGGGCCCCCGGTAGCACCTGCTCGAGCCCGGCCTCCGAGGGACCCG